ATGCTTACGATAAATTACAGGTTGTTATACTATCTAATATAACTGTATGATTTCGTAAACGTTCATTTCTTCGTGCATTTGATTGAATTGTTTTTGTTTCCAGTCCCTCAAGGTGCCTGCACGGTTTCAAGAACTGATTGATGTTGGGAGTATAACAATCAGATCAAAACCTTTCTCTGATAATGAGGTAATATTGCAAACATTTTATTTAATGTCGACTGTGGTTGCCCAATTCACCCGAGTCAGAGGATCACGGTTCAAGTGCTCAAAAAGGGCTGGGTTTTTTTGGTGGGGAAGAATACCGGAGGACACGGAGATAAACCCTCTGAGCACAGGAGAGAATCAACCAAATTCTACTGACATGAGTTTTTCAAGCACGGAGAAGTTACCCAACCTAAATAAATTTTCCTCCAACCTGGAGCACGAGGCTCAACTGGATGCATCTGCTACCCGTTCTTCTCCAATCAATTCTAACCCTTCCCATTTTAAGCCAGCCAGCCAGTGTGTAAATGAGTCATGACACTTTGACCACAATACTAACCCTTCCCATTTTAAGCCAGACAGCTAGTGTGTAAATGAGTCATGACACTTTGACCACAATACTAACCCTTCCCATTTTAAGCCAGATAGCAGTGTAAATGACTCATGACACTTTGACCACAATGCTAACCCTTCCCATTTTAAGCCAGACAGCCAGTGTGTAAATGAGTCAGTTGTTTATATTTCAGGAAGTTCTACCTCTGTGCTATCGATGTTCAACCACCAATCCATTATTGAACAGCAAAGGCAACCATTGTATCAACTGTAGACAACCGTTTGTCTTCTCATTCTCCTCATTTGGTTAGTTGATATATTTAATTATTTATCCCTTGCAAGTGACGTCACAATACTTCATGTGACGTAATTAAATGATATATTTGCTTATTTAAAACCATTTTTATTATCAAGATGTGTTGCCTCTTGTTGAGTTTGTCCTTGAAGATGGAATAAGGTAAGACATTAAAGGGAAAAATAATTAAATGGTATTGCATGTGCAAGGTGTTAAAGTTCCAATAATTCTTTTGTATTTTTCTGTTTTTGGTGTTATGTACTCAGGTGAAGATATATGTTCACTTTGTGATGTTGTCTCTGATTTTGTCCACTCCGGGCAAGCTGAAAGGTTTGCTTGTCCACGGTGGAAATTGAACCCGCGACCTTTGGTTTGCTGTTATGGTTGTTTCGGACCTCAAAAAATATGACCATATTTCTGAGGGTTTACGGTCACTGAAATGGCTTAATGTAAGGGATACGCTGTCTCTAAATGATGCAGTTATGGTTCATAAGTGCCTTCTTGGCGGAGTGCGAAGTTACCTATGTAGGCTAACAACCGGACAAAGAATGTTCTCTTACAGAGGGGCAGAATTGTATAATGATCTACTTCGCGACATTAAGAAAATTAAGAACACAAAGATTTTTAAGAAAAGACTACTAAGTGACCTCATTAGCAAGTAATCTATTAGCCTAGCCTATTTTGGCCATTAAATTAACTATATGTATATAGTATTTATTTGTTCGTAGCGGAAGAGCCCTTTTTAGGGAGCTATAATAAAGTTTCTATGTCTACCAACTGAGCTACGAGGTCAAGTCGGTTCGTGTGGGTGATATTTCGGAACTCAGTCTAGTTCCTTCGATGGCAAACCAAAGGTCGCGGGTTGGATTCCCACCGTGGTCAAGCAAACTTTTCAGCTTGCCCGGTGTGGACATACTCAGAGAAAACATCGCCAACATAATCCCTTTGTATGTTAGCGATGAAGAAGCAGTGAAATTGATTGAAGCAGATGTTCCAGCAAATCGAAAGAAAGATAAATCACAATGGAACGAAGTTGATATGGGCAGTATCCTTTTTTCTGCACGCACACTTTGTGCTCGTATGTGCAGCCGCACCTCTCCTCAAAATCCGGTCATGGTGTTCAGTCCCAAAGGAATATGGCAATAAAAATGAACTTTGTCAATAAAAAGAACTTTTCAAGTTATATATGAAGATCCTTTACAACTTTTTCGTACCTTGCTAAGTTGCTTGGTTTTCGAAATATTTTGACCAAAAACAGTGTGCAGTCCGCCATCTTGGTATTATAATTGACGTAATTAACTGAGTTTTTATATACGTAATTAACTGAGTTTTTATATGTTATTATAATTGACGTAATTAACGTCACAAGCAAGGTGTTAAACTTGTTAAAACGTCTTCTAAATTTCTTCGAAAAGTTTCTCAAAATGTTGTGAGTTAATTGAGTACCAAAAAGTCTTCGGAAAATCGAGTTTCATATTGATAATAACATGTGGTTTGCAAGATAATTTTGCTTTTTACCCTACTTGTGACGTATGCATATCGAATGCATATCCAAGATGGCGGAATACACCCTGCTTTTGATAAAAAAAGTTTGTAGATAGTTGCATTTTTCGCAACCTTTCCTGGTTAGGTCTAATAAATATATATAAAATTCCACTCGTAATTTCTATCTAAAAAACCCATCGCATAAATTTTTCTCCTTCTCTTCTACTGTGTGTCTGTCTATCTGTGTATAATTCTTAACCAGTACATCAGACGTGCAGTCGTTACAGATTTCAGATGAAGCAGATGGTGGAGATGACGATGATCCATTCACAGAGAAGCTGATGAGCTTTGAGGTAGTCTAGCATGTAACCAAAGTGTTTTTCGTCTCAAGCAGTTCAGACGAAAATCATGGAATAGAATACCTATACACTGCAGGACCTCCACGTTTGAGAGATACCTTTTTCAGGTGTATAGTTCAGTGGACCTGCATGTTTGAGATATCTTTTCCAGGTAGTTCAGACACAAACCACGACAGCTTATTGTAGAATACTACCTACACTGGACCACCACGTTTGAGATATCTTTTCAGGTAGTTCAGACACAAACCACGACAGCTTATTGTACAATACTACCTATACACTAGACTCCCTTGTTTGAGATATCTTTTTCAGGAAGTTCAGACACAAACCACGACAGCTTATTGTACAATACTACCTATACACTGGACCCCCTTGTTTGAGATATCTTTTCCAGGTAGTTCAGACACAAACCACGACAGCTTATTGTACAATACTACCTATACACTAGACTCCCTTGTTTGAGATATCTTTTCCAGGTAGTTCAGACACAAACCACGACAGCTTATTGCAGAATACTACCTATACACTAGACTCCCTTGTTTGAGATATCTTTTCCAGGTAGTTCAGACACAAACCACGACAGCTTATTGTACAATACTACCTATACACTAGACTCCCTTGTTTGAGATATCTTTTTCAGGTAGTTCAGACACAAACCACGACAGCTTATTGTAGAATACTACCTATACACTAGACTCCCTTGTTTGAGATATCTTTTTCAGGTAGTTCAGACACAAACCACGACAGCTTATTGCAGAATACTCCCTATACACTGGACCACCACGTTTGAAATACCTTTTTCAGGTAGTTTAGACATGATCGAGGCAGGTTATTACAGAACACTATATACCTATATACAATATATAGCTACAAATAATCCCCACGTTTGGAATATCATCTCGAAGAAAAGATAATTGTATATTATTCGTAAACAAAATTTGCTTCAAATTTCTTTAATCAGCAAGGAGGAACGGAGTTTATCCCAGTCAAAGTCGGTCGTGCTGTACTACAATCCATGAATCGCCATGAAGTATTCATTAAGAGATGGCCACAACCGCTGAAATTCAACTATTATAAATCAATTATGCCCGACGTCGCAATTACACTCTGTCAAACTTGCAACAGGGTAAGTGGGGCGTGATCCTTATTTCAAAACAGGGATGGATCCAGCGCGATCTAGCAGGGGAGGGCGGTAGGGGCTGAAATAAAACCATTGTCGGTCTTAGGGCCTCATGGATAAAAACATAACATCAATGACTTCTGTTTAGTTTTCAGACTATCATATCTTGATAGACTATGTAAATGCAAAGAATATCTAATAGATTTGGTAAGGTAAATTGCCCCCCCCCCCATCTTTGCCACCTTGTCTCGTATGCTTATCGGCCTATGGGATTTTCAGATCAAAACTCGTAAATGTTCCATGTTTGGAAAAGACAGGCAGCTGCCTTAACTTTGCGAGAACGATCACATGATGACCTATGTACTAATTCTTGTTTTTGTAGATGTTCCACTCAGAAGATTATGACTTACTGGTATTACAAAAAGGACATTGTCCATTTTGCAGAAAGGCAGCTGAAAATCTTTGATGATTGGTTGGCAAGGGAACTGGATAAACATTTGTTCAAGTTTGTAAATATTGTGTACAGCTTTTTAAGATAAAATGATGTTGTAACTAATTTATTCATATAATTTTTAATATATTTCGATGCAAATATTGAAATAGACACGTTTTTAGCCTGTCGCAACTGTTGTCGAGATAGAACTGGAGGCTACCTCGACGACACTGTCGTGAACTGTTGCCAGCGTGTCGCAACATGACTTTTCATATTTCCATTTGGTCGCGAGCACTACACGCATAAAAATCTCACATCTTGTAGAAAGTCTGCCAAAAAGCCATCAACAAGTTGTGTTCGCACTGCTTGTCCCAAGTTGTCAATAAGTTTGGAACAAGCTGTTAACAACTTGTAATAACCTTGTTGATATTATCAGACTTGTTGCAAGGTTGTTCCAACAAGTCCGATACAGTCGTGATATAACAATATTGTTACAACCTTATTTCGTCAACCTTGCAACATTCTTGTTATATCATGACTGTATCAGACTTGTCAGAACAACCTTGTAACAAGTCTGATAATGCCATCAAACTTGTTACAAGTTGTTAACAGCTTGTTCCAAACTTGTTACAACAACTGGGAACAAGCAGTGAACACATTCTCATTAATTTCATATATGAACTATTAACATACACATGTCCTGACTCCTGAGTTACACGTGGCCAGCTGGGCTGAAGCACACAAAAACGCGTGAAGAGTGCATGTATGACACGTTTTGACACGTGTGTGACAACATCTTGAAAATCGTATTGTTCAAGGTCATCTTTTTATAGTTGTTAAAAAATGCTTGTTTGTCTGCATGACGTTGCCTATAGGGGCAATTTAATTCATGGTTTTTTGATTTTGTCCCATTTGTGTTGTGATGTTTTAGAAGATTTCTTGAACTTAGGAAAACACTTTGCGGTCGATAGGCCGGAAGTGCATACAATGAAAAATCTGGAAAAGTTTATCTATTTTTATATAAACAAGTCTGGACACGTCAAGTTTATTCTGATAAAAAAAAATACAGTGATATACATCAGAGGTGTCTTATTGATTCATTGAAATTGATTGATCTACAGTATTACCATGGATTGTAAAATAGCAATCCATGGTATTAGCTAACTTTTCTAAGTCGATTTTAAAAAAGATTGTTCCAGAATTATGTTCCAGAATCAAAATGACTATTTTTGGACACATACGTAATATGGCGTCGGTGAAAAGAGTTCATTTATTTTCACCCTAATTTCCGGATTACAAGTGGGTTTTTTTGCTGCATTTTAATACACGAATCAATTCAGTTAACAAGTCTTTGTTTATTAATATCAATTGTTTTTATATACAAATATTTGGTCCTACAATATTTTTGTCCAGCAAATGTCTTTTTTAAACTAGAATTTTACAAAAACGATCTTTTTACAGGCTATATACAATTGTAAAAACTTTGAAAGCAACTTTCAAGTCAGAAAATTTCTAAACTACGTAATTTTTTTTCTGCGTCCTACTCGCGGTACAGTATTAGCCATTATTAATATGAAGCCATTATTAATATGAATCCCCATTATATAAATATTTCAAAACTCTATAAAATAACTATTCTCACACAAAAGGTTTGTTGTATGTACATATATACAATTGATGGCATGTATTTAACGCTCCACTGTTTTTTATAGTCCGTACTGTTCTTTTTCTGCCTTGTTAGAGGTCTGGACGAAAAACAGTAAAACACCGCTCGAATTCATCCCCAACTCGTGAAAGTATTTGTCCGATTTCTTTACAAATGTTTGCATTTTCTTCTGTCAATCCTGTTGCTTTCGAGCTCTTTTTTTCATCGTCTGATAGTGTGGATTTTCCCGTTGACTTCTGATCGTCTTTTGAGCTCATTTTTAGCACTTGAAATGCCTCCTCCTGTGAAGTTTCAGC